GTATAGCTGCTCCTTCGCCTTCGGGGTGTGCAGTAAGGGAAAGCTTGATAAGTATTATTTGAGTTCTCCAAAGCCTTTTGGCACTCTAGGGTCCAGGCGTAATTGCTCTTTTCTTTAGTAACGCGAAAAACCGGTGGCTTTTATCTGATGACTTGGAAATGAATCGGCCCAATACGGCTATTTGCCCGGTCAGCCTTTACAGTGCTTTGACATTGTTAACCATAATAATGTATTCAATGGCCCTTATCTTATCCAGATTGATTTATATTCCCTAGTTGGATACCATGAATCCATTGAACTTGCCCGAGCCAACCCTGAAGGCACATTTCTCCAGGTTCAACTTCATATTCTCTTCCCTTATATGTCGAAGGTTTCCTACAAATGCTTTAAATGGTCCTCTGCTCTTAGGGACTTAACTAATATATCGTCAATATAAACCTCCAACGATTTCCCTATTTGTTCCTTGAACATTCGATTAACTAGGCATTGATATGTGGAACCGGCATTTTTTAACCCAAATGGAATCACGCTATAACAATAAATGTCGAACCTAGTTATAAAAGAAATTTTCTCTTGGCCCCCCGAGTCCATCCGTTTTTGGTTGTACTCAGAATAGGCGTCGAGAAATCTCAGCCTCTCGTGTCCTTCTGTTACATCTATCATTCGGTCGATGTTAGGTAAAGGAAACGAGTTCTTTGGGCATGCCTTATTTAAATCCTTATAATTTACACACATTCTAAGTTTGTTTCCCTTTTAGGTACGATGACCACGTTAGCTAATGAATCCTGATATATAATTTCCCGAATGGAACCTATTTTTAAATGTTTAGATACCTCGTCTTTGATAAATGCATGTTTGACTTCGGAATGTGGCCTCCTCTTCTATTTAATCGGGTGGAAGTTCGGATCCAAACTCAATTTGTGAGTTGTTATCTCTGGTGGGATTCCTATCATATCTAAGTGTGACCAGGCAAAACAATTTGCATTAGCTGTAACAAAATCAATGAGTTTTTTCAGGAGCTTGGGGGTTAGCCTCGTGCCCACGTATACCTTTCTATCCGGCAGATGCTCGAACAATATAACTTGTTCCAGTTCCTCGATTGTTGACTTGGTGGCATAGGTGTCATCAGGTGCTACAAAGGATCTCGAAACCCCGAAATCATCTTCCTTATCTGTTAGATGTTCCTCCTATTTTTCCGGCTCGGTCGAGGCCAAGACCTGCGATAGCTATTAGGTGCCTTTGTCTTCGATCTGTCCCTTATCTTTTGATGTCACAACCACGGGTGTTGGGATCACTTCTTCAATAGGGAACACCTCCTTTGCGGTCGATTTTTTCCCGTATACCATTTTGACTCTACTTGGAGTTGGAAATTTCAACGCTTGGTGCAAGTTCGATGGTACTGCCCTTATGTTATGAACCCACGGTCTCCCGAACAAGGCATTGTACATCATGTCCCTCTCGATCACATAGAACTTTGCTTCTTGAGTGGTTCCGACCGTATTGACATGTAGGATGATTTTACCTTTCGTTGTTTTGCATGCCATATTGAACCCATTCACTACTTGAACTTCTAGTACGATATTCACTACTCAAACTGCTAGTACAATCTTATCCAACAACCCCAGTTGTTCCATGACTCTCTATCAGGTGATGTTGGGTGAACTACCTTGATCAATTAACACATGCTTAACTCAAGATTTATTAATAAGCACAGATATTACCAGTGCATCATTGTGATTTTGAATGATTCCCTTAGAATTCTCATCACTAAATGAGATAGATCCTTTTAGAACATAATCTTGAGTTCATTTTTCTCCTCTAATGGATACCTTGGTGCGTTTTATCATCGGTCCTTGAGGAACATCTACTCATCCAATAATCTTATTAATCACATGTTGGGGTTATTCCTGCTCGACCTACTTGTTGGCTTCCCTATTCTTGAAATCGTTTTTGGCTCGCTCGCTTAGGAATTCTCGAAGATGCCTATTATTGAACAAACAAGCCAATTCTTCCCTTAACTACCAACAATACTCGGTTCTATTCCCCTGAGTACCGTGATATTTGCATATCAAAATGTGATCCCTCTGTATCAGATCAGAGTGGAGAGTTCTCGGCCATTTGGCCTCCTTGATGCGATCGATGTCTGATACTATACTTGCTGCATCTACGTTAAATTGATATTATGATAGACTTGGGGCATCTCTGACTCTGGATGACCTATCAAACCCATTTCTATTCACCAACCCTCAATTTCTTGGACCCTAATCATTTCTTTTGTCATTCCTGGTTGAATAAGACTGGTTCCATTCCCCCTATCTGAGTTATAAGGCTAGTATTGGTCTCGGGGTGGCCTCGACTCCCAATCCACTACTCTTTTAGACTTTTCCTCGCTCTACTGGGATAAACTGATCCCGAGGGGGGGGTGTTCCTAACTAGTCGTCCTCGACTCTGATCTTTGACTGATTCCTGTTGTGGACATCGGCCCAGGCAACCGCCAGATACTCTACCAAATTTTGCTTTATTTATTGAGATGCAACTGAACTTCGGGGGTCGAGCCCCTGAGTGAATTCTTGAATGACCCAATTGTCTGCAACCGATGGCAGGTCCATCCGTTTCATTTGTAATTACGACACAAATTCCCTAAGTATCTCGTTATCCCTCTTCTTGACTTTGAACTTGTCTGATTTCCTCGTCTTATCCTTAATGGCCCTGACGTGAAATTTACTAAAGGCATCTGCAAGCATAGCAAATGAATCAATACCGTTTTAAGGTAAATTATGTGCCATATCATCACTCCCTCGGATAGGGTTTTCCCAAATCTCTTCAACAATACCGACTTGATCTCGTCATCCTCGAGGTCGTTGCCTTTTATTGTGCATGTGTAAGAGGTCATATGCTCGTTTGGATCTGTGGTCCCATTGTATTGGGGAATATCAGGCATTTAGAATATTTTCTGAATCGGCTTTTGTGTTGTGCTGGGGGGAAGGAGTGAAGCTTTTGAATGAACTTCTTGGAATTTGGTCCTTTTACTATCGGAGGTGCCCCGGGATCTTATCGACCCTCGAGTTATAGTTTTCCACTTTCTTATTGTTTGCCTCTATCTTCTTTTCGCCGGATTCTACCCATTTTGTTAGTGCCTAAAGTATTTTCATTTCCTCGAAAGTTTACCAGATTCGGACCCATCGGGCTCTATGACAATCCGTTCTTGCCTCCGAGTGTCTTCCCTAAACTGCAGGGGTTCAACCGTGTTGTGTGCGTGATTTTGATTCTGCAGCTGCGCTATGGAAACTTGTTGGGCTTGCAACATTTCCAAAATCAAATGTAAGCTAACTCCATCGCCATCCCTTTCGGGCTCTTTACGAAATGATGGTCGAGGTGCCCCGTGAACGCTGTTATTGTGATTAATCAGTAAGTTAGCTAGTGTTGACAACATCTGTGAGTTGGCATCAATAGGATCAGCGATTGGAACGCCGTTAAGGTCGACTGGGGTGCATTGTTTCTTGGCACACCGATATTATCTTCACCGTGCTTGCCTGATTTGGGGTCCACACTTAAATGCAGATTGAGAGTCTGATATATTGAACAGTCCTGAAATCAAACCCCAAAGAACAAGTGTAAAATAGAGTGTGTTATCGAGATTCATATTAAATAACCACTATTATCTTTAGCCCCACAGTGGGCACCAAACTATTTACCCATTAAAACAGATAACAATTAAATTTGCACGCGATTTAAAGGATACATGGTTTAATTTAACAAAAATAATCAAAAAATAGTAAGTAATTGAATTGAAATGAGATAAAATGATCAAACCAAATATGGCGAAGTAATTATGCCTTGCGTTTGGCTTAAATGCTAACAATCGGTTTCAATCGAGTCCTAGAGATAGAGCGTGATTCCAACTAAACGGATAAACAACTGAAGAATACTTAAACAATTGCTAAAAGTCAAAGTAAACTTTATTGCTTTGATATACGTGCCAACAATCTACCAAAAATTAAAGGGTTCTCCTCTTTGTATAGTAGAAGAGTTTTAACTCTAATACAAGTCTAAATAAGGTAAAAATCTTTTCTTCCTTTTCTCCCACAAAAATATGATCTGTAGCCAACATCGAGTGTGATCCACGCTGCAATATCCGGTTGATGGCGGATATTTCGGCCCCCTGTTTTGTCTCCTCTAACCGTTTTTCTTTTACCCTCGATTCTTCATCTCACTCGAGCTTGATTTTTTCCGGGTTAGGGCATGCCCGAGACCGTTGTATTGTTCGTCCGTCCTTGGTCCCGATCCATGGGTACCTTCGGCTTCACTCGAGCCAATGACAAGAAACGTCGTTCCTCGTTCCACAACAGAAAATCGGGGGTAACTCTATCCCCGATTTTACCCGTATACAGTATTAATTTTCCGTTTTCAATTATATCGATCTATCAATATAACAAGATTAAGTTTTTTGCTTTCTGGTATTTACTTGCTACTATAATTGCCTCATTTTATTCTATGGAAAATTAATTTTTGTTTTTAGGTAGACACATTTGATACTGTCGTATTTTATAAAATTATAATTTTTCGTATTCGATATAAAATATATGTGAAATTATATTGCTTGATTTTATAAAATATGACAGTATCAAAAGTCATAAAATGTCACAAGAAATATGAGCTACGACAATATTTTATAAATGTCGTATTAAGTCACATAAATGTCACAAAGTCACTTATCGACATTTATTTTACACTTATTTCAAATGTCGTAAATTTCAATGTCGGCAATTTTCTGACATTTTTACTAATATCGGTAAAAGATTTACGACATTTATTTATTGACTTTTATGAAAATGTCACAATATAATTTTTGACATTTCACATAATGCCGGTAAAAAAATTATTGATTTCTAATTTATTTTATTTACGTCATTTAGAAGTGTCGGGAATATTTTAGTTTAGTGACACTTATGCAATACATCTTGTTAATGTCAAAATTACTCATCGATGTTTGCACTTACTATTGAAATGATATTTACTAGAAATATAGAAATCATAACAATCAAATATCAAATTTATATACTTACAAATGTCATTCAACATAGAGAATGTGAACCGAAATAAACTATTTGTATATAGAAGATCTCTATAACTAATTCCAAGAATGAAATTATACATAATTGTACGTCTATAATTGAATAATGCTTGGATCAAACTATTAGTCTGGATTCATGTAAAATGCAACTAGTTCAGCAACAAGAGATTTCTTCACTTCCACAACTCTTTCTTCCACTCTTTCTGCTGCTTCCCTTTGACAGCTTCCCCTCCAATTCCACTCTTTCTCCTACTTCCCTTTAGCAGCTTCCTCTCCACTACTGCTATTTCCCTTAAATTGAGACAAGAAGGTTGTTTGAGGTTGTCAATCTATATTTTTATAAAATGGGTTATAAATTAGCAAGTAGTTGAAAGTTAAAAGAAGATATCATAATCTACATGCAAGAATGATTTAAAAATATGAAGTTATATAGTGCAATTTCTTTTACCAATAGCATCATCTTTATGCAGTAGAGCAACCAACTGAACTATTTCAGGAGTTATCTTCTATCAACTAATAAAAAATCCTTATGAGTAGAAAAATTAACTTTAAGAAAGAAAGAAGGTGTTTGCTGTCAAATCTATAAGGACCTTACCATAAGATGCCACACACTAGACCTTCTCACTGCGACTCCATGTCACACGAACACATGCCAATCACATGTGTGCCACCTTATTTTTCAGCTAATCAACCAGCATAGCTATCAGTACATTTCAACCTAGTAAATTGTATACATGTTCAGCTGATGATTGCACAATTACCATAAGGATAGAAACAATTATCAAAGTAATAGCACCGTATAATTAGACAATCTGGACAATGACTTATTAAAATTTCTCACAGCAAAAGCGCAGTGATACTCACAATGGAGGTGTGGAAGGCAACAAGAAACAATAAGCATTGTTAGCTTTCCTTCCGAATAGAGCAACATATGAGTTGTGCAACCTTGAGATTAGAAGAAACCTTTGTTGGTGGCCTGCACATCATTGAATCAGATAAGAATTCAGGAAACCTCATCAATTTAGTTCATATTCGAAAATGAATAAACAATACGGAAGGTCAAAGAATTTAAAATGCTCTCTCAAGAATTTTGTCAAATACTCGTAGGGCATAATCTATGAAAGTGATATCCACATCAGTATATTGTACAATAACACCCCACAACTTCTATTTTGCAGATCCATATTAAATAACCACAATATTACACTCACACAATAAAATCACAACATAGATTATGCTTCGAAATTATAAACTTAGAATACTTCTAAACATCATTCAATTCCTCCATAAAATCAAAACACTCCAGAAAGAGGGAACAATTCGAATCTAATCAAGAAAGCAAGAAAAATGGTGATTTCTAATGTGTCAATATCAGTACACAAATAGATGGAAAGATAGAATTAAGCAAGAAGACAGTATTCTAGGGGACATTCATACTGCTATTCCTTAAGGTGCTTGAGGTTCACGGTTGGGGTGGAGGGATTTGGATGAGATAGAGAAATTGGGGAGGGGAAAATGAACTTGAATGTTATTGTTACGACTTTTGATGGTTATCGCAGGGAGTAGGGTTTTTTCTGAGGAGATTTTCAGAGGGAAATTTTGGGAGGAAGTTTTGCAAAAAATATTTTTCTCTCTTTTTGAAATTAGTAAGTAGTAATTTTCTTTTTACCAAGAAAGAAAAAGTAGTAATATAAATGTCACTAACTAAATGTCATTTTATTACTAATTATGTGACATTTAAATCAAATGTCACAATATTTTTTTCATTTTTAATTGAATGTGAGTATTTTTGTAATATTTTCTAACATATGTCAATAAATTATCTTTTTTCCAACATTTATTACAAAGGTCACTAATTAAATGTCGTGGTAGCTCATATTTGTTGTAGTGACACGTGCACGCACACCTTATATTTGCTTATTTGTTTGTAATTGTAAATTATGTTGTTTTACCGGTTTTGGTAAAAGAGAAAACGTATTTTAATTGTTGTTTTTAAGGTTGATAGATCTTGTTCTATGTAGTTGGACAGTTTAATGCCATTGGGATAGAGAAAGCTCCATTTTCCACTCGAGGATAACTAATGATATGAAAAAAATTTGGGTCTTCTTCAAACCTCAAACGTAGTAGTAACAATTATATGACACGGCAAGCAAAGCCTATAGACACAAGCAGCAAAACCATTGGAGTACTTGGACAAAAGTTTGTTAAGGTTGTTGAACTTCAAATACCTGCTAATCTTAATTCAACTGATCTTCTTCTTTTTCTTTTCAAAATCTCCCTTATAAATATTCCTTCATTCTCTCTACTTAACCATTCACAACCTATATACACAAATTCCAATAAACCAATTATATCAAAAATATTTCTCAAACTTCCGACCGATCAGTTGAAGTAGAAGCGTCTCATAAACTAAGTCAACTCGTCTCATCAATACTTTTCCAGCTTCGACATGGCTTACAAGCTTTTGGCTTTTTCAAATTTTGTTCTGTCACTGATTTTTATGGCAGTAGTACTGCAGGCAGTTGATGGGCAAATTATAAGTACACCGTGCACGGGACCGATGATCACTAGCTTCACACCATGTGTGAACTTCTTGACTAATAGCAGCAGCAATGGGACTTCACCAACTGAAGATTGCTGCAGTGCACTCAGGACTATGATGACCAACGGCACGAGTTGTCTCTGCCTTATTGTAACTGGTGGTATTCCATTCCAGATGCCAATGAATCCTAACTTAGCCATGTCTCTTCCCCAAGCTTGTAACATGCCTGGTGTTCCCCTCCGGTGCAAAGGTACATTTCACTTCTTGGACACTAAAATATTTAAAGAACTACTCCCTCCGTTCCCGATCTATGTGGCAACGTCAGTCCTTCACTACTAAAAACAGTCTTTCCCGATCGAAAAAACCTACAAAATGCGGTCGGCTTTGAAGGATTATCGACCAAAATCCGACCAAATTGGATGGGTCGGAAAAATATTGATCGGTATTTACCGACCAATGCACTTATAATTTTGAGTTTTGATTATATTATAATTTTTTTTTTAAAATAATCAATTATAAATACACCATCCAGGAATCAAATTAAGGTTTGTACCATAGTAAGACACTATTCTACCACTAGAGCATTAGTGCTGGTTAGTCTAAACCTTTTATTTTATGTTATTACTCTTTAACCAGATATTTGTACAAAAATAATCGACTAACTCGGTCGGTTTTCTTTTAAAAATAAAATTATCGATCGAAATCTTTAAATAAGTTAACCAAAAATGGATCGGTTTTTTTAATATAACTTTGAATTTATTTTAAATAGGTTTCAGTCGGCTTCTTGATAAACAATTTTGCCTGTATGCATCACTGATTGTCACGGTCAAAGAAAAAGTTTTCCACATTTTGGCCCAAAAAAATTCCGAATCCGTCAGTTTCTAAATTAAATTGAAATTTTTTATTTATCGGTATTTTCGATTGTTTTTTCGTCTGAAAATGCATTTTTCAGTAGTACATCTGACTAACCTCGGTTTAGAACGAAAATAAGATTTTTAAAACTTGTAATCTAAAAGAAGTCTTAGATAGTTGTGTAGCCATAAATTATCTCATTAAGGGTAAAGTTGATATCATATAGTTAAATTATTTTTAATACAAAAAATATCATTCTTTTTTAAAGAGACTAAGAAAGAAAATGTGCCACATACATTGGAACAGAGGGAGTAGCACATACTATTTTGGGTGGCAATTTTTAATTAAAAGGATTTTATATATTTTGTGTGGCCACTTGTGTCACAAATAGAATGATGAGTCTTGGAAATGAGGTGTCAACGAATCAAATTTAGGGTGAATTTGGACGTTGTACTTAATTCTATGGAAAAACATAAATATTTAACTCTATATTGAAGTATTAAAGTTGTTCTTAGTAATCGAAATGAAATATTTAAAAAACTTTTTGGAAAAAATTATGAAATTTATAAGATGCGTATCTTTAATTATTTGCATCTCGGCAAGAATTAGGTGGTCTACCTCCTGTCCTCTTTTCACATCCATCATCAGGTACGAGGGACGCGGTATCCACTAGACAAAGAAAATGACACGACTTTGAGAGTGTGTTTTGTACAAAAGAATGAAAATATTTTCATGGAATATGAATGATTTTATCGTTTATTTTTTTTTTCTTGATTGGTGAGTGAAAAAAAAATTCAAAAAATATTTTTTAGTATTTGGTTAGAGAGTAAAAAATATTTTTAAAATAAATCATTTTCATGCTACTCTCCCCCCCCCACCCCAACCCCCAAATCCCCATATTTTTTGTGCTCCTCCCATCGAAATACCCAACGTTTTCAGAACTCTACTTTATTCAAGAATTTAATTATTCTTTAAAAAATTCACACAAACCCAAAGTAACTAATGTGTGTTGCTTTACTTTTTCTTACAAGAACAACGTTAAAATTTGAGCTACATGACTAAAAGAAAATACTCTTTTTTATTCTAAAAGAAAGTGCTCTTTCTACAACATGAAAAGAAAGTATTCATTTTATTAAAATAAAATAAAATATTTTTTCTACGTCGTAAAAGAAATACTGAATTTGTTGAAATGAAAGAAAACACTCTTTCTACATAAAAAGAAAATACTCATTTTACTGAAATGAAAAAGAAAGTACTCTATCTATAAAACATGAAAAGAAAGTTTTCTTAATAATGTTTCTATCTGGGGTAGGGGTGGAGGGTAGGGTAGGGGTTAGTTGGTGGGTAAGGGGGGTGTGGTGTAGTAGGGGTTGTGGGATGGGGGTAGTT